TATTAGTTTATGCTTACTAATATGTAAGTTGTTTTATAATATACCATGTGCATTATAGAAACTTCGTCTTTAGAGTAAACAAATTATACAAAAATGCACCCTTATAAACTGATGACAAAAATAGATCCAGAGACCTAGAAGCATGGGACAGACTTCAGAGGAAAGGCAGCATTGGGCAGGTGGGTGAGGAGGGCTTAACAGGGGAACTTGTATGCATAGCCCATCCACACAGACAATAGTGTGGTGAAGGCCTTGGAGGGGCAAGTGGAAGGTGGAGGTGGTCAATGGGGAACAAAAGCAAAGGGGACAGCAGTAATACTTTCAACAATAAAGATAAAGTTAAAAGAAAAATGTACCCTGTCTGTGTGTACAGTAATTCTATCAATAGAAATGACTTATAAATATTGTCAAATAGTAGATAATGAAGAAATAATGCCACGTGCAAACATTTAACATTTTAACATGTTTTCTAATTGCTTAAGATATATTTGGTATGCTAGATTCTAGTTGGTGTGTTTCAAACTATTTTTTTTAATAAAATGTCATTCTAAAATAGATTATTGTGGGCTCCTCATTTTATATGATAGTGGCTGAAATTCATGGACTGACAAATATATAAAATATTTTTAAATAAATTATACTTTTAGATTTCAATTCCACTGTCTCTTTGTTCACCTAGGTGGCTTTTACCGTACTTTTTGACTTGGAAGCACTTCTGAAGATATGGTGTTTGGGATTTACTGGATATATTAGCTCATCTCTCCACAAATTTGAGCTATTACTTGTGATTGGAACTACTCTTCATGTATATCCAGATCTTTATCATTCTCAATTCACATACTTTCAGGTAATGCAAATAATGCCTATTTGTCTTTAGACATTTTTTATTCCATAGAAAATACTAGTCACATTATAATAATAATTGTATAAGTTTATATATAACAGTTATGTATAATTATTAAATGCACACTTAAGATAGGTCTGATGAGCCCTAACCGGTTTGGTCAGTGGATAGAGCGTCAGTCTGCGGACAGAAGGGTCCCAGGTTCAATTCTGGTCAAGGGCATGTACCTTGGTTGCGGGCAACATCCACAGTAGCAGGTGTGCAGGAGGCAGCTGATCGATGTTTCTCTCTCTCTCATCGATGTTTCTAGCTTTCTATCCCTCTCCCTTCCTCTCTGTAAAAAATCAATAAAATATTTAAAAAAAAACCCCAAAAAACTGTCTATTTTAGGGCTAAGAGCAGAAAACACAGATCACTTATTTAAGGCAATGATTTGTTCATTAAATATCAAGATTACATGGAGGTTTGAGTAATTCTTGGTCAACCCTGAGAGTCAGAGAACTGGGGTGTGCTTGCTGGTACGTTATGTGGCATTTGCACTTGGAGGTAGTCAAGTGTAAGGTGAAGCCTCTTGAACTCACCGGGCAGAGTCCACAGGGGGTCCGGACCAAGCCCGTAGGTGGGATGATTGGATTGACTGCTCTGTACAGTTTCATGTGTCCGTCTACACTGCCAACTGTGCCTTCCTTTGCAGCGATGATAGTCATCTCCACTTTCCCATCATATATGAGTGTATTCAAGATGGTTTCAATGTCCTCCATGGACAACTCTACCTGTAAAGGGGATATATTAAAAAGGAAACAAAAAGGACAAAGACACATTCTTTTGGAGGGAGTTAAAAAACAAGTCATCAAAAACACAAAGAGGCTGAACAATGATTCAAGTTAACACAAACCACTCAAATGCTAGGGACAGAAATCTTACCTCAAACTGAGTTTGATATCTTTGCTTTTTAATGTATAACCTAGAAGTCTTATAAAGTCAAGTTTGGCAAGAACTGGATGGAGATTTATAAAATGCTTGAGCAGAAAGTACTTTAGATATAGAACAGTCTTTAGTCAAAATCACTAGTTTTTTTTATAAGTGAAAAATCTGGGAAATGAAAAATGACTTGTCCAAATGTTCACTTGAATTTCTTCTTTGATCATGAAAAGCATTCAGCACAGTTTCCTTATGTATAGTACCTTATGTAAAGGTCTTCAAAAAATATGCCGATCCCACCATATATCTCATAAGAAGGAAAATACCAATAAATGACAGCTGATGTGATGACTGTTTGGCACATATATTGAAATGTGCCTGAGAAAGTCAGAACAAACTTCTGAAAGTGAAGTGTACTACCAGGCTCCACTCTGCTGCACTACCTCCCAAGCCCAAATACACACAGTTCCGACAATGCCAATGGCAATGACCAACTTTGCCTAACAGGCTCAGGACAGTACTTTCTCAAAGTGGGTTCTGCAGAATATTCACAGGTTATCACCTGAAAAAAGGGTATGGATCAAATATGTTTGGCATATACTGTAAACTATACCACTATGATAAATAAGTTTTTAAAAATAAGATTAAAATTAGAAACTGAGTGCTGACCTTACTGATCCCCAATTCACAGATATATTTCCATACTTCGTGTGATGAAGCAAATGAACTATTTCTTTGTATCATTGGATTCTGTTTGCTTTCTCGGGCTGTTTCTGCCTATAAGGATAGACACATAAATCTCAGCAAGAACACTACTGTTTTCTGAATACAATTTATACGAAGTGAAATCAACAGAACATATTTTGTTTAGTAAAAATTACCAATTTAATGCCTATAAAATAAGACCTACAAAATTAAACATTATGAAGAAACTTAAAAAGAAATGATTGTTTACTCAATTATGCCTTACCTTGGTTTGTAGGAACTTAAAACACTGTTGGTTAAGCACCTCTACAAATTCAGATTCAAAATCCTGGTCACTGTACCAGGCTCCACCAGTCACAGACCGGTCAGGCTGCAGGTTATAGAGCATATACACCTTTTTCTTTGAGGCCTAGGAAAAAGCATGCACAGAAGATGTGCTTATAAGCTAACAATCTCCCAAAACTAAGATGTGAAAAAAGCTCAAAACATTGTATTTTAGAGTTTTAGATTCACAGAATTATTGTGAAAATGGTATAGAATTCCATTTACCTTGTGATGTTTTCCCTATTATTAGCATCTTACATTAATAGGGTACATTTGTTACAATGAACCAATATTGATATATTATGAACTAAAATCTATACTTTGTTCATATTTTCTGGTTTTTCTGGTCCATTTTTCTCCCCAAGATACCACATTAGATTTAGTTGTCATGTCTTCTGAGGCAAATTTTAGTTGTGACAGTTTTTAAGTGTTATTATCAATGAACTTGCCAGTTTTGAGAATTACTGGTCAGGTATTTTCAAGGATGCCCTTAACTGGGATTTGGTCTGATGTTTTTCTGATGATTAGACTGGAAGAAAGATCACAGAGATCAACTGACCTTCTTATCACATCATATCAAGGGTATGTGATTGTCACCAAGTGATGATTGTCATCAATATGACTTATCAGTGTTGACATTAACCTT